GAACTTTTATATAATTAATGCCTCAATCATTCAAATTACTATGAACCAGAGGGCGAAGTCGACTCGGATTTTGTATGGAAAAGTCGACTTGAGTTCACTCGACTTCATACAAATTTCGAGTCGACTTCGCCCTCTGCTATGAACATGTGCCTTTACCCATAATTTAAATTAGCTAATGAGTCAACATAATCAAAAAGGCATGCAGAAAAGCACTCTTACCTTAATTTTGTCAACATTTTAATTTATCGCATTTTCTATCCAATCAATTTTACTCCGTCTCTACGAATATTGAGATGAAAGCAAGCAGCAACACAAAAAAAAATCTCAAAAATTTAATAGCATTGCTCGTATATCAAGTTGAGACAGAGAGGGAAAGGTGCGGTAATGTTACCGCAAAAACTCATCATCCATCCACATGTATTATACACGTCGGATGTCTTTTTCGCTTGACAACTCCTTCATGCATGGTTGGTACACATGTGTCGATACGATTGCGAAAAATAAAGTTTCGTAGAGAAGTGAGAGAGAAATGGAGTGAATAAATAGGGACTGGATGTGGATGGAAAATCAATATAAGCATCTATCTGTGTTACAGTAACTATATAGTTCGTTATTATTAACTGTGTTTAGATGTTGCTGTATATTGCAATGATTTTTTATGGAATGTGGTATGTGTAAATGTTTTATGGAAGTTGGAAATGATTTTTAAGCGCTTTTTGTTGGGAAGTTTTGAGATGAGTGGAATCTGAGATATGGAAGCATGTTTTTGTGAATTTGCTGTTGCAAGAATAAGGCTTCTGTGACTGAGTGATTTGCAAAAAGACAATAGAGCAGAATTTTGTAATTATTGTAAGGGCAATGGTTCGATTCCTAGCAGTACTTCAAATCTCAATGATAAGGCCTCCGTGGTTAGCCAAGAGACACAAGACCGGAATTCGGTTATAATTATAAAGACAAAGGTCCGATTCCCAGCAGTAGTTCAAATCTCAAAAATTATGGAGAGGTTTGTCGAGATCTTAAGGCGCTTTGTACATGGATCACATTGGAGTCATGCTAGATATTCTGAAGCGACCTAGAAGTTTGTTAATTTGAGGTCACATACGCACAGCTCGAAGTCAACATGAATTTTGTATTGTTGAATCGACTTCTAGATTTGCCTAAACTTATCATTTTTAATCTATTAATGTCTAATAGGTGTAGCGACCCGACCTCGCGCTGAGAAACTTACTGAGAGAATCTCTGGAAGTTGAAAACTTGAAAGATAAATACAAGAGATTGGAAACAGAACTTCTTTGTCTTTATTGTCATTTTATGTGATCTAGATGACGTATATGCATGTATGTCGTATTCCCACATAGGTAAACATTACCTTAACCTACAATTCATGAAGCTAGTCCCTTATCCTTCATTATAACTCATACAATAATGAAATAAACTAATCAATTCAATCCCAAACATTTATTTCCACATTGCTGATCAATTCATGTCCATCAATCGCTCAACAAATTATTCATTTACTCAATTAACCAGTCAGTCTGTCTACCAGTCAACCACGAAACTACCATGAACTCAAAAATCATGATTGTTCTGATAGAAAATTGTTTTGAAAATGTTGAAAATCACCGAGAGAGAGATTGAAGGGATGGCAAAGTGAAACTGGAGAGAAAATTTCATTTTCCATTAACAGGATACGACATTAGCATCAACATTGGTTCGTGGCAAGAAAAAAATTCTATCTTCATTGTATAGCATAGAAAATTGAGTTATAAATATTCAATATTGACGATTGGAGTTTTCCATTATACAATGTTATATGCATAAACTTCATTTTCAGCATGATAGTAAAGACATATTTGAGAGGAAGCGATACAACAAGAAGCAAAAAAAAATGTTTCTTACTACTTTTAACCGCATGTAAGGAGAACAGTTGCATACAATTCTCTCATTTCCAATCACCAAGTATGTAAATTGCCACTTAAATTTTACTTCAAAAGGAAATTGAATGAGAAAAAGCGATTCAACGAACGTTCGAGTGTAGAAATGATTGTAAGATATTTTTTTGAATTACAGCATATGACATTAGATGGCATATACAGAGTAAGGTGAATGTATCGTTCTAAATGACTGTATGATTTTCTGTTTCTGTACATTGCTTTGCTGTTGTGTGCATTTCAGATTGAAAAATTTATCTCATTAATTTTTTATGCTTGTTGGGCTAATGTGCTTTTATAACTCATCACGTAAGTTCTAGTTTGTTAGGTGCTGCTCATTTATTGCGTTAAACTTTAATGGTAGGTTAAGGGTCAAGTGGAAGGGGGGGGGGGGGGGGGGGGGTCAAAAAATTCAAATTCATTTAAAGCCTCGAAAGCATAATTTATGGGGTGGAGGACCGTTACAAGAATCTAATCGAAAAATCAACCAAATTGCTTTTAACCATTGATGCCCAACCCATGTGCCAAGGCACAATACTGTGCTTTGGAAAAATGCTACGAACCATAGTGTTGCGTGCAGTTTCGTCATGGCTCACAACCGAGGTGTACCGTGGCACAAAAAAGGTTGGACACCACTGCTTTAAATAAATTAATTCAATATTCAAAAATTACAATTCACATAAAATCCCCATCCTTGTTAAAATTTACGATAAAAATATATTGCAACCTAAAAGTCAAAAAGGCACCACTCTACAGCAGCAGCTTATTGCATCACAAATTTCCCTCATATGTATTCAGTTTTATTGCCAAGAGTCAAGTTTAATATTGCTTCAACATTATTGCTAAATTATTCATTTAATTAAGTGTTTATTGTTCAAGACTATGCGTGTTTGTTGCCAAAAGATTTTCAAGGTTCATGCTCCACATCTGAACGTTGGCTCATTTATATCTTACATACATGCACGATGTTAATTGAAAAACAGTTTAGTATGGTTAAAACAGGAGACTCATCGCTTCACATCTACAAATTTGCTCTAGATTACATTTTAATCACTGTGGGAATCATCATAGACTGTGTAGATTATTGAATGGCACATCATGTGATATAAAGGCATGACAGAAAATGTAATTAGCATAGAAAAATTAGCAGTTTATAGGTTATGTACTTTGCTGCTTTTCTGATGATGTCAACGAAAGCGGCTTGGTGGAAAACTGAGGAAATTTGCCGCTTTGATGTTGTCGCGATTTGTGAATTGAAAATTTTTTTCGGTTGATTGATGTTGTTTATTAGATTAGATGCCGAGAGATTTGCTAATTTGTTTTAGTATGTTAAGAATTTGTCGATCGATAAAGGGACGAAGAAATGCTATGTAAGGTGCATTCACGAGGGGGATGGGGGTTGAGGCTAAAAAATGAACCCCCTTCTTGGCCACACCTCACCCCCCACAGAATCTTCACAACTAAATTCCAACAATATTAAAGTCTCTCACGTAACCCACAACTTTAAAATAAATTCCTCGACATTTAATACTTCCACCAACAATTCTAATGTAACATGATAAAATAATAATAAAGTTGCCATTGTCTTTAAGCAAGCTCAATTTTTCCTTGTGCTCATTTTTCTTCCTCTATTCTCTGTTCTTATAAAATTTTGATTTATGATAAAAATATCCAACTATAATATTTTACAATAAATGTCTTACATAGAAAAATGATACATTCTACTGAATCACGTATACGAATAGCACTTACATGTTTGTGAAGGAATTAATGGCATTCGAAGACTGTAATTGTGGATAAATGGTGGTGGTTCATTGGACTTTGAAAAATGTTGCTAGTGAGGAGGTACTGAATGAGAATTGAGCTTTATTGAATGAATGAATTGAGATTTTATATGAAATTTTTGAGAAACTTGAAGTCGAGCTAGTTTGAGTGGATTCATATCGATACAATGAGTCACAAATGTGCTAGAATTGACCTAAAACTTATTAACAGGAATAACTTGATTTCGAGGGGGGAGAAGTATCCTGTGGCGTAACTTAAGTGGATCAAATGGAGTAACCAAGGCATAGGCCTTAGGTTCTAGACTTCTAATCCCTAGCAGATAAAGAGCATCAGAACTATCCTCATTTAAATGAGCATTCTCTTTAAGGTATGATACTCAATAGTGTTGTTCAATTAATATCATGACGTTGCTAAATTAAAAGGAACTTAAAAAAAATAAATCAATTAATAGGTCGTTCACTTATGACGTCCGAGATCAAGGGGAGGGGGGGGGGGCAGGAAATTTGTGGGGGGCATCCAATTCCGCAAAAAAAAAATCATAATTTGTAGAAACCTTTGGTTGGACATCACAAAGAGGGCAATGGCATCTGTAGCAGTTTTGTGAGGTCTTAAAAATCATTTTTATGGACGTCATAAGTGAATGACCCCAAATCAGTTCAATCATTTAATTCCAAATAATTCCATTCATAAAATTCCACAACACATTTAATTTACAAATTAAGTTTAATTAACCTCAATGTCCACCCTGTGTCATTGTTAAGCTTTCTTCATTTAAATACAAAAAGAATTTAATTTGTCATCATCATTTAACCATATTAACCTTTTTCATTTGTTCATGTCCAGTTGTATTCTCTACACACATTTCAAATGTCTGCATTTAGTTTTGAAGTCAGAAACAACAATAACAAAAAAAACTACGATTTATATATTTTTTATCTCCTACTTTTCATGTCATAACATGAGAATTGCTTGAGGAAAATTCAGAAAATGACAAAACCACAAAAGCCTCAAAGTGCCGGTGTATGACCATATAAAATGATTAAGACATTTTCATTTCACTTTAAAAGTTCCTTGAATTTCAAATTGGAATGAAATGAATTTGCATTAAATGTGTGTGTGTGCTGTGGGTGATGCATACATGGGATGACCACATTTGATGAATCAAAAATTAAGAACAGTCCTTTAAAATTATTCTGAGGAGGTGAGTCTCTACCTATTCTGAAATACCATCCGATGGTCAGCATAACATGCATATGCATGAATAGGATTCGAACAAAGGTGGAAATGGTGAATGTAAATTATACTTCCTTCCTGATTCAACGCCCCGAAGCACTTCCGATAACTTCAATCATGTCATTGCCATTGACAATTGAGTAATATAATATGATTTTGTGGATACCCATAAAGCTATGTGTGTGATTTATTCCTCTGGTAAAATCAATATCGAGTTAAAGAAGTCGAGAAAGTAAAATGAATGAGATGAATGGCTTACTACCTTATTTTTGGCCAAAGAGTTATTGATTTTCATGTGAAATTTATTTTTTTTTTGATACCTCATCGAATTTATATCCTTCAATTTATGGTAAGTAAATTTCCTTGTAAATTCATAACTCATAAATAATTAATGAATATATTTAGATATATGCTGAAATAGAGAAACTCATTGCCATCTGCAAATATCTTGTTTTATAGGAAGAACAAAATATTTACAAATAATATTCAATTGAATGTTAGACAAGCTTTAATATTTCTTTGGAATTATATTTTTGGGATGGCACGTGTGGATTTATTGAATTTACTATGGGGCCGTTCACCTTTTACGTAACGCTTTTAAACTACAAATTATTTTCTAAGGTGCGAGGGGGGGGGGGGGGGGAGTATGAAAATTCATTTTTTCGCGTTACATAATAAATGAACGGTTCCTAAGAATCTTATTCATCTGCAATTTATTAAGGAATCTTCGATGTTGTACAAATGTCGTCTTATTAGTTTTGAAGCTTGCAACATTAACTAGTTGACAAATCATCTACGTAATGACTCCTCGCTTTAAAGCTGCACAGCTCTTGAAGAGTAAAATTCTAAATTTAGTTGCAAATGGTTGAAGAAATGTTCGAAAGCTACAAATAAAATATTTTAAATGTTATACCTTAACGTTATGCAACTTGTTCAACACTCTTCTACAATTGATCATCAAACACTTTAGAGAAACTGACAAAGGGCCGTTCACTTATGAAGTCTTTGGGGGGTGGGGGGGTAGCTAGAAAAATTACCGTTAATTTCGGAAGTCATAAGTGAACGACCCCCCAATAAGAATCGATTTTGAGGTATTTGACTCCTACTCTTTGGCTATTCGGCTGATACAGCACAATATCAAAACCTGTTCAGATCGGGGGTGGATGAGGATATAGTTCAGTGGCAAATCAAGAACTTTTCAATCGCCTGGGGTGATTTTGGCTTTGTTTTGTGTGAGGATGACGTAATTTTTTGCCAGCAAACAAGCTACTTAATTTGCTACATCACTAAGGTAAGATGGGGGGTGCTTGGTCACTCAATTGGATGGTATTTATTAATTAAAAATTTAAAAAAGTAAAAAATCGCAATCTTATTGCAAAAAACCCGAAAATAGAACAAGAAAGCTTTCACATTTAATGATTATGTTTATCTTCTCTCTTACTGCTCCGTTCTGTCTAATTTCCTTCAAAATTAAACAAAACAAAAAAGAAGAAATTCAAATTGAACAAAACCCAAAAAAATGTCTCTCGTTTACTTTATTCCATTACTTGAAATTCATATGTAGATAAAGATCCACATTGAATCTTTTTTTTTTATACTCGTGTGCGATATAAAAATTTCACAATAATTTAATAGCAACAAAAAAAGTAAGTCTTGAGAGCTTTTTGGAATTTTTTTTTTCTATTCGAATATTTTATGTATGCTCATGTATTGACATAAATACTTGCTTACCGTCTTCTTCATCTTTCATCCATTATTCCGCTATATGTGACGAGGAGGAAGATTTGTAAGAATGGATTGATGTGCCGCAGGGAAATTGTTCAGTAACTTAGGGCATTAGGCAATTCAAAAAAATATTTTGTACTTTAATTCACTTACATATTAATCACATTCAAGACTCTGACATTGATGACTGTTACCTTCCATTTCAATTTAACCCCATCACAATAGCGACAGCTACATAGCTAACGATAAATGTATTTGTATTGAATGTACACAATGTACAATCTAATCTAATTCAATCCGCTTCATGTCTCTGCTAGTACTCGACAACATCGAAGCCTTCTCTCTCTTTCTCTCTCCTTGCTCGGTTGTCATGAAAAATCGTTTTTGGCATTCCATGAAATATTTCAAAGTGTCTTTCTTCTAAACATTTTAGTAAAATGACATTTTTCTTTTTATCCATGCTTCACTCAATTTTTTCCCATCCATACTTCTCCTTTTTCTACCTAGAGAAATGAAAATGGCTTTCTTGCCTTCAAATTCACATCACTTCGTTTCAAAGTTTTCGTTCCTATTTTCACGTTTATCGCTTGCTTTTAAATGGATTTACGTAGCCTATCATGAAAGGGTCATGAGTTTATAAAAAGTAAGGATGAGGAGATAATGGGGAATGTGTGAGAGATATCTAATGTGTATGGATGTGTAATTTAAAAGGATAGACAAATAAAAATTCATTTTATGTGGGAAATTTTGAACTTGAAGTCTTTGCTGATTGTGAAGAAGTCAAAGAAGACTGGGTTGTATTTTGTGTCTTGTTACAATTCAGTAGCGCAGTTTGGTTTGTGGATGTAAATTGAAGATTGAATGAAACTTTTCTGGGTTTGAGTCTTCCTGAATGGCACAAGTCGGTTAATTGATCAGAAATCCGGCACCAAGCTAGGGCGTCGTTCACTTATGACGTCCGAATTTACCGGTCATTTTTCATAAAAGAACAATGGTTTTCCAGGAATTTCTATTGTTCTTTTCTTGCTTACCCCCATGGATGTCATAAGTGAACGGCCCCTAGTGTGAATCTAGCATAAACTTCCCAATAATTTTTACTGAAGGGGAATTGAACCCACATCCTCACGATTTCCAGTCACATACTCTTATCAATGAGCTATCGGGGGTTGCCAAGAAGCTTGACAGAATGCCAACCTAAACTTTTTTCTGCTCTTGCTAGTATCTTTGGTACTGGACTTCCAACATAATATAATTAGATTATTTCTTAAAAGATATCCCTGGCTACCATTGCATCTGAAACTATAGTAGATACTTGTAAAGCACTTATATAATTCAAATTCTTCAAAATTCTGAAAGCCAAATTCAGAGGAAGTGATTTAAGTTAACTCAGTAGTCAGATAAGACCATAGAAGGAGGAGAAACATATGATCAAACTCTCTTTAATTTCCCCCACATTAAAAACACAACAAACATTATCATTTTCCTGGAATGAATCTGTATTACGTCTTAATTTTTCATGAGCCTTTAAAAAACATTTAACTGCTAAAACAATTCTTAGAACTTTTTTCATCAAACAACTTCACTAAGTAAATATCATTAAAAGCGTCTAAATTTAACTCAAGGATTTTTTCTTTCAGGATGTTATTAAATGGTTATATCATCCCATAAAAAGTATTAGCCTTATGTTAAGCTTTTACCATAAATCTACATCATGAGCCTATATTAATGACGGGAAAAATGTCTGTAATGCTAGCTCGTTTATATCTCAAAGGACAACGTCCTTTTTCTCAGAAGACTTTTACCATAAAACATTTTTTTTCCTTTCTTTATTCGTTTTCCTAAATAAAAAAAAAAATGTGAAATTAAAACATTTTATGCTGTGTGATTTATGAAATGATAAGAATTATGACTCAGTTTGGGTTTGGCTGGAGATCTTTGAATTTGGATAAGAGCGATTCATTAGATAACAGTGATAATGGACTTAGATTCATAAAACAAAAACTCAATACAGTCGGATAAAAGAAACTTACTAGAGTCGGATAACAGAGACTTAAAAGAGTCGTATAATAGAGACTTACTAGAGTAGGATAACAGAGACTTACTAGAGTCGGATAACAGAGACTTACTAGAGTCGAATAACAGAGACTTACAAGAGTCGGATAACAGAGACTTACTAGAGTTGGATAACAGAGACTTACTGGAGTCGGATAAGAGAGACTTACAAGAGTCGTATAATAGAGACTTACTAGAGTAGGATAACAGAGACTTACTAGAGTCGGATAACAGAGACTTACTAGAGTCGAATAACAGAGACTTACAAGAGTCGGATAACAGAGACTTACTAGAGTCGGATAACACAGACTTACTAGAGTTGGATAACAGAGGCTTACTGGAGTCGGATAAGAGAGACTTACAAGAGTCGGATAACAGAGACTTACTAGAGTCGGATAACAGAGACTTACTAGAGTCGGATAACACAGACTTACTAGAGTTGGATAACAGAGGCTTACTGGAGTCGGATAAGAGAGACTTACAAGAGTCGGATAACAGAGACTTACTAGAGTTGGATAACAGAGGCTTACTGGAGTCGGATAAGAGAGACTTACAAGAGTCGGATAACAGAGACTTACTAGAGTCGGATAACAGAGCCTTACTAGAGTCGGATAACAGAGACTTACTAGAGTCGAATAACAGAGACTTACAAGAGTCGGATAACAGAGACTTACTAGAGTCGGATAACACAGACTTACTAGAGTTGGATAACAGAGGCTTACTGGAGTCGGATAAGAGAGACTTACAAGAGTCGGATAACAGAGACTTACTAGAGTCGGATAACAGAGACTTACTAGAGTCGGATAACACAGACTTACTAGAGTTGGATAACAGAGGCTTACTGGAGTCGGATAAGAGAGACTTACAAGAGTCGGATAACAGAGACTTACTAGAGTTGGATAACAGAGGCTTACTGGAGTCGGATAAGAGAGACTTACAAGAGTCGGATAACAGAGACTTACTAGAGTCGGATAACAGAGCCTTACTAGAGTCGGATAACAGAGACTTACTAGAGTCGAATAACAGAGACTTACAAGAGTCGGATAACAGAGACTTACAAGAGTCGGATAACACAGACTTACTAGAGTCGGATAACAGAGACTTACTAGAGTCGGATAACAGAGACTTACTAGAGTCGAATAACAGAGACTTACAAGAGTCGGATAACAGAGACTTACTAGAGTCGGATAACACAGACTTACTAGAGTTGGATAACAGAGGCTTACTGGAGTCGGATAAGAGAGACTTACAAGAGTCGGATAACAGAGACTTACTAGAGTCGGATAACAGAGACTTACTAGAGTCGGATAACACAGACTTACTAGAGTTGGATAACAGAGGCTTACTGGAGTCGGATAAGAGAGACTTACAAGAGTCGGATAACAGAGACTTACTAGAGTTGGATAACAGAGGCTTACTGGAGTCGGATAAGAGAGACTTACAAGAGTCGGATAACAGAGACTTACTAGAGTCGGATAACAGAGCCTTACTAGAGTCGGATAACAGAGACTTACTAGAGTCGGATAACAGAGACTTACTAGAGTCGAATAACAGAGACTTACAAGAGTCGGATAACAGAGACTTACTAGAGTTGGATAACAGAGACTTACTGGAGTCGGATAAGAGAGACTTACAAGAGTCGTATAATAGAGACTTACTAGAGTAGGATAACAGAGACTTACTAGAGTCGGATAACAGAGACTTACTAGAGTCGAATAACAGAGACTTACAAGAGTCGGATAACAGAGACTTACTAGAGTAGGATAACAGAGACTTACTAGAGTCGGATAACAGAGACTTACTAGAGTCGGATAGTAGAGACTTACTAGAGTCGGTTAACAGAGTCTTACTAGAGTCGCATGACAGAGACTTACTAGAGTTGATTAACAGAGACTTACTAGAGTTGGATAACAGAGACTTACTAGAGTCGGATAACAGAGACTTACTAGAGTCGGATAACAGAGACTTACAAGAGTCGGATAACAGAGACTTACTAGAGTCGGATAACAGAGACTTACTAGAGTCGGATAGTAGAGACTTACTAGAGTCGGTTAACAGAGACTTACTGGAGTCGATTAGCAGAGTCTTACTAGAGTCGCATGACAGAGACTTACTAGAGTTGATTAACAGAGACTTACTAGAGTCGGATAAAAGAGACTTACTAGAGTTGATTAATAGAGACTTACAAGAGTCGGATAACACAGACTTACTAGAGTTGGATAATAGAGACTTACTGGAGTCGTATAAAAGAGACTTTCTAGAGTTGGATAACAGAGTCTCCTTACTTGAGTTTATAAAAGCGCTTACTAGCCTTAAGATCCGACAAAACAGTCGCAAAAACCTTTTCAGGACTAATTTAACCTCCTTCGTCTTTGAAGTTCTCTTGAAATCGTCCAAAAAGAAAGAAGAAGAAAGTATCTTAAAATTTAATTTTCCTTCCATCAAACCTTCTTTGCACGACATAGCTTTCTTAAGATGATTCCCAAAAATGAATTATTTTACTTTCCTTTCCTCCTTTTAGTCTACCGCTACCTTCGGCATTATCATCTTGTTATTTTCATATTCTAGTTCATCTTTTCTTGTTTTATAAATTGTTCATGATGGTACCATTTAATTTAATGCTAATCCTAGCTACTTATCAACCCTATTCTATTAATATAATTTTAAGAGATAGAAGTGGAAAAAGGGACACGAATGAAATTTTATTTGATGGTACGGGCCGTTGAGAATTCAATCCATCACAATATTTTTTATAGTTTGACATAAAGTTTTGTAATTTTTGAGTCAGTCATGCCGAAAGTCATTGAAGTATATTATAGGAATAGAATGGGAAAAGTGGAAAAGTTTGTTCAAATAAAACGTAGGCAGTTGGCTGTACGTGTTATGTATCTTTTTACTTCTTAAATACCAAAAAAAAGTTGAAGAAATCGTGAAGTTTTATGAAATCGAATTAAGTGAAAGAGACCTTCAAGTGTGCCAAAGATGTCGCATCTTAATTAAATATCGTATAACTGTCTAGAGAAAGTATTTTCATGTAGATACATGATGTCTCCCTGCCATGCACGCACAGCTTTTCCCCTTTTCGTTTTGGGGTTTAACATTTCCATTTTTGAGGAACTGAACAACAGAAATGTTTGTCTAACGCGATACGCTTCGATTATTGTGTATCCAAAAAGATTATTGTACGCAAGGTTATGGAAAGGTTGGCCATAATTCACGTGGCACTCAATTTAAAATAATATCATCCATCCCACTCTCGTATGTCTATAATTTTCCCTCATTCCTCATCCTCTACGCAGAGATCATAAAGTCAAATTCAATATTTCTTATTCCTCGTTCCTTTCCACATTGTTTATTGCTCTCGAAGCGTCTGAAACTTAGGAAGGAAAATTTATGGTTGAGTGCTCTCAATATAAAGTGTATCTGAAGAGATCGCGGAAGTATTCTCAATTGATAGTTAAAATTGATTGTTTGACAAAAAGCTTAAAATAAGCAGTTTTTTGCTTGCTTGTAAAAAAAACTTTAAATTGAATGTCACGTGTGACTGTTTATGGCATATCCACATATATCCATTTGTGCTTTTAAATCTTCTTTATTTATGAACTGCTGAAGAAGAATTTTCGGTGCCTGACGTCTTTCACCTCAGACTGCCTCACATATGAGCATTTATTTCTGTCTGTCTGGACGGATCTATCTGTCCATTTATCTGTCGTTTCAACAAGCGTACATTTAATCACTCATTGATATATTTTCAGTTATTTTGTCATTCATTCATATCTATTTTTGGACATGCGTCTACCTATTGGATTAATTTGACCTTCCAATTATTTGCTCATCTGTCTGTCTTTGCATCAAACTATTTGGTTCGTTGTTGGAGCTGTCAATTTAGAGATTGCATTTTTGGTTTTAGTTGGATGTACGTTTTCATCAATGTTTCGACCACACATGTCTCCTGTATTTTTTTGACATCCCAGGGTTTTGATAGAGATTTTTGAGGAATCAGGTTTGAATGAGTCATGACGAATGCTGTATTGTTGACCTTCAGATTCTTAGTCATAAGGAAGAGGGGGTTGCAGCTGCTTTGAGGATAGGTAAGTAAGGAAGGGGCTGAGGCTATGTCAGGAAAATAATATTCTTCATGGGATCGAAAGCTTCTAGTCTTCATGTAAATGGACTTTTGTAAGTTGCCAATTAATCAATCATCTTTTGATGACACATGAGATAAATCACATCGTACTCAATTGACATCATTATTACATTTGATTCATCTTTGCACCTAATTTGAAGTCTCATTTTATGTTAATGGTATTCAAGTAGGTTCTATTTTTGGTTTTAAAACGACAACTGTAGCTTGAGTCCGTTCATTAAACTTAAATGTCAGAAATATATCAAATTACTAGGCAAATAAGAAGCTCATTATAATCACAACACAATCATCATTAGATTCAACTGATAATTTTAAGCACCCATGTCATAAGTTTTAGTCCATCCTTCTCAATTTATGATCTTATATTTGGAAATTCTGAAAACATTTCTGTAAAGTTATTTATAGTCAATAGGCTCGTGTAGAATAATTTAGGATTATTGACATAACAGAAAAGTCTGTATAGAATATTGATCAGCATTACTTACCTCAATCAAAATCCTCAAATGCCACAAAGTGACCAATAAAATGACAAGCTTATGAATTTTGAAAATGTTTATTCTTGCATCCCTTTTTTTTGAAATTAAATAGAAGAATTCTGATAAAATTCCAGCACAGCTCAAGTTCCTCATGTATTTTGTTGTTGCTGCAACAATTTTTGTTCCATAAATCCCCGTCCTTTTGAATTCTTTTGCAACCCTTGCTCAGCTTCAAACAGCTCCTATCTCATTTTGATTTATGATATCATTTTTTTTTTCTAACCATTTTAATATTTATTATGGGGATTGTTTTTGTCACATGGAAACATGGAACCAAATCGTTGTATCAGTTGAGGAACACAAAAAAAAAATTGCAAAATGGACCAATTTTGTTCTTGTCTCGTCTCACGGGGAATTTTATATTTTTTTTTCATCCTCTTATTTTCAGTTCCTTCTTATTTTGTCTAGAAGAAGATTTTTTTTTCGGGCAAATAATAATAAATATTTTTGCTGGTTTAAGCAAAATGGTCTCGATTTGAATGTTTTCGTTGTTTCCCATACACACGCACAAGGAAATGAGGGTAAAAGGTATGCAAAGTCATTTTCAAATAAATCCTTTCATGTTTCGCTTTTATGATAAGAGTTCGTTCACATATGGCGTCCAACATTTAGAGGGGGGGGGGGGGGTCAAGAAATTTGTGACACATTGTGACAGGGGAGGGAAGGGGGTCAGAAAATTTGTAATATCCAATTTTTTGTGAGAAAATTATATTTTTTGCTACCTATGATTGAACGTCAAAGGGGGGGGGGAGGTATTGTGACAGTTTTGTGATAAAGGGGGGGGGGAAAGGTATAAAAAAAATGTTTTTTGAAATGATTCAAATCCAGCACCATGCCAGCGTTACGCCAGCTTGTTGCAGGACTTCTATTTAATTACCAGACTTGGATAATTCAGGATAACTCAACTAAGCAGCCATAACCAATTAAACAACCAGCCTCGATAGTTGGTTTCACCTTCTGACAGGAATGCGTAAATAGAAAAATGTAATAACACTTTATTTTACTTTTAATGTTTCTCGTGTTGACTCCCAAGATATTTGTAACTGATTAGCCTTTCCTTTTTGTTATGTTCATTAGTTCTGATATAGATAAATGGCGTTCATTAAAGTTATAGTTGTTTATTAAAGCAGGCCAAAGTGTTAAGTTGGTTTGTATTATCATAAAAGTTTCTCTAGACTTTGTTGAATTTCGAGTTTGATTTTCAAACTTAATTTACGATAAATTAGCTTTAGTAGCTTTACAACTTAGGGGTCTTTCAATTATGATATACGAAATAAACGGTCATTTTTCAAAAAATAACAATGGATTTCCAGGAATTTCTATTGTTTTTTTTTTCTAGCAGCACCCCCCCCCCCCCCCCCCCCCCCCCCCCCCCCCCCTTGGACGTCATAAGTAGTAGTTTTACAACATAGAAGCTTAAGAACGTAGTACTACATTCAACAATTCAAATGACGTTCTCATGAATCCAACCTACACCACAGTCATCCAATCTAACATTTTCTCAGAATTTAGTAATTAAAATGTCTATTTCCAAAATAGAATGTGTGTACATTTATGTCTGTTGAAATATTCATATTTATTCTATCATAATTTCATATGACGGTAAATTCATTTTAATGTCACATATGGATATCCTTTTGGGAAACTAAGTGACCTGAATTTGTTGATGAAGATAGATAAATGAAGGAAGGAGAGTGCGCTCTTCATGCAAGACATATTCTGCATCGTCATTTGGGATGTCTTCAAGATTTTAAATCTTAATGGTTCGTAGTGGATTTATTAAATGTTTAAAAATACAGATGATGTCTTTTTAAAAAGGTTGGTTTTTGAACAAAATTTGTAGCAAGATGTTAATCCAGTGGTTCTCAAACTGAGTGCCGAGGCATACTAGTGTGCCGTGAAAAACTTCCAGGAGCGCTTTAAAAAAATTTGAAACCTGAAATTGAGGCTGGGATAAATTTTAAGTGAAAAAATGTGGCGTGT